TAAAATATTTAGGGGCTGTATACGCATTTCCGGGAAGACGTAATGTCAGGGATTTTGTGCCACAAACGCTCGTTCAATACGTGTCTGGTGCGCACTTCTCTGTGTCTGTGGTTGCACTCTGCCCTTGTGGTGCACCAACTCATGAGAGATGATGGAAAACTTTCATTAATCTCCACAAAAAGAAACCCCATATCAAGGATAAATATCTAATTGTCTTGCTGATTATTTTTGGATGAAGACCCAGATGAAAAGACATACAGACCTTCTTCGATATTTCTCAGGCATTGTTTCTATTTTTCTATCCATCCAATTAGGATGTAAATGGGTCCTTTTACTGTCATAGTTTTATTTTCATGAATATTTTAACATTTTATTTCACTTAAAATAAAATTTTGATTTACCATACCATCAGGCAGTTCTAGAGGTTCTTATGTCATAAAGACTGTATGAAGTGATTAGAAATGAAGGGATATCATCATGGGTGAAACTGTTATAACCATTAGTTTAGATTTCTTTCAACAAATAGCTTTGTAGATGTTGCATCAGCCTGGTTACAGCAAAAAGGAAATACAGCAATCCCTGATAAGTTTCATTGCAATTATGCCAATAAAGTTTTTTTAGATTTACTAAAGGGTGTAAACAAATGGCCTTTGGCAAAAAATACTTTAAAAATGGCTGCCTTTAACAGTTTTCCAGAAGGAAAACAGGTCAGGGTGAATAATGGGAAGCTGTAGAAAGGAAAGCCATGCCATTGATGCACTGCAGGAGGTAAAAATAAAGGATACAAAGGAAAGTAAGAGAGAAAGGGCTAAATTAGGGGAAGGAAGGAGAACACAAGGGAGTATACAGGTAAAAAATTAAGTCTTAAATGCTAATCTTCTCTCAAACTTTTTGAAAAATACTGAAACAAAACTAGATTCTCAAAGTAAAAAAAAAAACAGTAAAGCTATATTTTATTCTTCTATAAAACGCAGAAATTAAGTCCCGGACTTTGACTTTCGTAGCTCCTAACGGTCAGTTAGTTAGATGGACTGAAAAGGAGCGATAGGACCCACCTCCAGTCCGGGTCCGCCGCGGCAGCAGCCTGACAGCAGCCCGCATGAAGCCGAGGGCAGGAGACAACATGCTGGAGGACAACATGCTGGAGGACACCGAGGGTCAAACACTCCGCATGGCGTCCTGCTGAGGACAGAGAGAGCCACAAACAGCCAAACAAACAACAAGTTAGACCTAAAACACAACAGCAGCACGTCGCTCTTATAATCTTCTTCTTCGTCTCCTCCTCCTCCTTCTTCTTCTTGGATTTCATGGCGGTTGACAGGCAACAGTTTGGCGCATTACCGCCACCAACCAGTAAGGAGTGTGGACCAGGACTACAGGCTAAAAAAAAACAAAAAACAAAAAAAAAAAACTCTACAACTCCAACAGTATGCACAAATGAAACCCCAAACCAAAAGAAATAGAAACAATATTTATAACTCATATCTTTTTTTTATGTTTATAATGTCAAATTGTTCCTTTTTCTGTTTAAGTCAAGTCGAGGCAAATTTATTTGAATAGCACAATTCAGTACAAAGACAATGCAAAGTAGTTTACATGATTAAAATATAGGAAAATAAAACAGAATCAAAGCAAGTAGGAAAAAAAATAAAATAAAAAATTCAGAAACAAAAAAGAATATTAAGAACAGTATTACTAAAGAAAATAAAAGTTGAACTAATGATGTTTCAGTTGAACTGTTAAACTAGAACAGTCGAAGGCAATCCTAAACAAATGTGTTTTTAGTCTTGATTTAAAGGAACTCAGGCTTTCCGCACTTTTACAGTTTTCCTTAAAAATTATATTCTTTGCCTTTGAGGAGTGTTGGCCTAGTGCTTATAGCAGTGCACTTGTGCTCTGAGAAGGTTGCTAGTACTTGGTTTGATCCCCTCAGCCTGCACTCTGGGTCCCTGAGCAAGACCCTTAACCCCCAAACTGATCTGTTGACTGATTAATGAAGAATTTGAATTCTGAGCAAATCACTGCTCTTAGTGGTCAGATCTCCTCAATCCATTCTTTTGCCGGCATTAACTGTTCATTTGAATAGTAGCATTAAATTGTTTCATTTCCTATTGGGATGAATGAAGTATTTTTATTTATAATTATTGCAATCATTTGTGCTGTGTATATAGATAAACCTTAATTTAGCATTCTCACTATATTGATTTTGAATTCTGGAACTACAACTGCTGGCCCGTTTGACCAGATGAACCTTAGGATGCATCTGTATCAATTTGAGCTTTAAATTTGTTCTATATACTATTTTACTGTTATTTAATTGCATAAAAACATTTTACCTTTAAAATAAGATAGAAAATCCCTTTATCTTCCCACAATGGAGAAATTGTTGTGTTAAGTAGCATTACAGCAAATGTGATCACACAAATGTGGACCTTCAAAGTGTATAAAAAATAACAGAATAAGTGCCAGAGTAAAGTACTGTTTCAGATGCTGATCCATAAAGTATATAACTATAATCAACTTTAGGTCTAATCCGGCTAATGTAGATAATTTTCTAAGCTTGTCTATCAGCCCCCCATTCATACCGAACTACATATCTCATTATATTCAATATGTTTTGATATTTCTCAATAACCTTTTCCATGTGTATTTTACAGGTTCTTCTACAGTATTTAATGGCAGCTTACATATCAACTGTGCAGCAATATCTTCAAACTTCAGCTCCCCAGTAAACCACAATAAAAGGTTTCCTTTGAATTAAATACCTTTTGCATGCTCTGTTGATTGTATTGCAGCCACTATACCAACCAAGGAGATGTATTGCCATCTTAAAAAGGATACTATTTAGGAAACAATGACCTGTTCTTATTCTGTTTATCACTACCTATATTAAGTGAGCCACAAAGCCAAGGTTGCATACTCCTGATCTAACTCTAATAACTATGATCCTACCTTAATATGCCTGGAGATTAAAGAT